ATAACTTGAGACTCAATGCTAGACCTATCAAACCTACTAGCGGGATCTCTACGTCTACCTCGGATCCCACGCTAGATACATCAGAGACCTCGTTCTCACGTCCCGGTCAACAGCACGCGTCATCTGCACCATCTACGGACGAGACTTCCGTCTCACGTCCAGATCGGCAGACCACGCCGCCCTTGACCTCGGATGAGATCGCAGGCTCACGAAGTACGAACGAGACCACCGTCTCACGTTCCGGTCGCCGAGTACGATTACCCGTACGCTTTCGCGACTAAACGCACAGTCAATAACGGATACGGTGTAGGATTATTCCTATACTACACGCATGCTACACTTTTCTTTTTTTGATTTTTTTTTGTATCCTGAGCCCACGCCTCCGACCATCGCCCATTTGATAACGTCGACTTCAGTCAACTTTGGCGAAAGCTGGTTTGGCCACCCACGCTCTAGTCAACGCACTCAGTCGATTATCTGGTCTCGAATCCGCCTGGCATATGCTTGGTAGTTATGGTCGCGTCCGGTTTCTTGGCTCAACGTGGTTTCGTCCTACGTCTGCAGCGTTTTCTGGTTCACATCCCTACGAACGCAATCATCAGATTCTGGATACAAACCACTCTGGTGTGGTATGCTAATTCGACCAACAAATTCAGCACACTTCTGGTACCGTTCTGCGCAAAAGACTTTCGTTGGCAACTCGAGGATCAATGATCACTTCCTGTTCCGCCAATTTCCTCTGTCCTACAACCGCAATTCTGCCGATCAGTCCCACGAATCAAACCGCTAACTATCGAAAGTGTAAACCCTTTCTAGCGGGGGGCTCCTGTAGTGACCTACTTTTGTCAACAGAACGCGATTGGTTCGATGAAAACAATTATTATTATAACCAATTGTACCAGTGACTGTTTTACTGTGCTCGTTTGTTTAACTGTGCTAATGACAGCCATTATACTTACTCTCCCGTTGACTTCGAACTTGTACGAATCTGGTTACGCTCAGTAACCACACTTGTACTCCTTTGGCACGATCTCGGTATTCTTTCGATACCACGAGATCGCCAACAAATATATACGACTACTACAATCATTTGCCTTCTGATATTTTGGCCTATCGGAATTTTATTGGTCTATTGGCAAGTAGTCTGGTAGCGGTGTTCATAGTTCAGCTCAACTCGACACCACGCTACAGATCTATGATGAAGTTGAACAAAAATGGAGAAAGTGGACAGCCTTGGCGGACGCCACTTGAGGTTGCGAAAGCAGATGACTGTTCGCCATAAGCTCTGACTCGACTAGTAGTGTTCGAGTAAAGAGCCTTCACAAGGTTTATGTACTTCTGAGGTACGCCTTTCAATGACAGACACTGCCACAGAACCTCTCGGTCAACAGAGTCAAACGCTGCTTTTAAATCAAGGAAGACCACTATTGTCGGACGCCGATAAGTATGCCTGTGTTCTAGAACCTGACGAATGGTGAATATGTGGTCTATGCATCCACGACTATGTCTGAAGCCAGCTTGATTCTCTCGTGTTTGCAGCTCACGAGTCTTAGTTAGGCGTCCGAAAATTATCGAAGCTAGTATTTTAGATATTATATTAGTTAAACTAATCCCTCTGTGGTTGTCACAGGATGATTTTGACCCTTTCTTAAATATTGGGACGATAAGTGATTGTGACCAGTTAGATGGGATAACGTCTAACTCCCAGATTTTAGCTAAAATATTAGTCAACCTAATCGCTAAAACTAGACCACCATCCTTAAAGACCTCTGGGGCCAATCCATCTGGACCAGCTGCCCTTCCTCGTTTCAGATTAGCTATAGCCTTTTGAACTTCAGCTAGAGTTGGGGGACCTACTTCAATGTTCCATTCACACTGTCTGGGAATAGAGGGTAGTTGTAGAGTAACCCTGTGGTTTAAATCACTAGTAGATGTCACTGCTGTTTCCACAGCTGATTGTATATCTTTCCAAGCAACATCTGGGTCAGCCCTGTCTTCAGAACTACCTAAGTGCGACCTGTTGTTCCTGGAACCTACTTTTGGTTTTCTCATTACTCAATTCGGTTCTAATGAGTCTTTTTTGTGTGGCTTTTTTGCGTTCAGTGAGGCGCAAGCAGATGCGTGCTCGTATTAGGAGATGGTCGAACTCCAAACAGGTACTCCAGAATGAGCGACAATCTTCTATTGACCCTCTCCAACGATGACTGATGGCAATATGGTCTATTTGAGTCCATCGTTGGTTTGGTTCAGGGGGTCGCCATGTTAGACGATGTCTCTCCTTATGCTTAAAATTAGTGTTTGCTTAAAATAAACGGTTGTCTGAGCATAGTTGCAGCAGACGATCACCATTATCTGTTCGCTGTGCCGGAATACTAAAATACCCACCTAAATGTCTTTCTGATTCGTTTAAGCTACCTACCTGGGCATTAAAGTCACCTGCTACGAATACTATGTCTGAACGTTTAGCTTTCTGAAGAAGTTCAGAGAGTTTTCTGTAAAATTCATCATTCACTTCATCCAAGCTGCAGTCAGTGAGAGCGTAGGCAGAAACGACGAAAAGGCAACGACGTGTGTCCCTATTCTTTCGAGTTCTTACCGAGCCGTTTAGCCGAACAGCGCATAGACGACTATTAACGGCGATCCACTCTAATAGCGCTTGTTCCGCCCTCATGCTTAGTACTATGCCTTCACCTGCCAGTCCACGAGAACTAGCCGTCGGGTCGCCAGATACACGGAGGGTGTATCTCGTCGGCACTCCGTTTTGCCGAGGTGAGGTCAAGTGAATGACCACACTAGGATCCTGTATGCGTGTTTCGGAGACACAGCATACATCAATGGTACGAGATTCTAAGGTTTTAGCCAAGGAAGCCTGCTGACCGATTTGGCATAGTGTGCGTACGTTGAAGGCTCCAATGTATAGTTTGGAGCGAGGTTTCAGTAGACCTGGGACAGTGTTTTGAGCACTAGAATCGTTGGCTGTGGTGACACTTGAGGAGGAAGCTAAAAGAGGAAGTTTAGTGTATAAAGTCGATGTAGGAGGAATAATAGGAATTGAAAAGGGAGGTTGACTATGAATACAGTGGTCTTGAGTGCTGTTAGAGGTATGAGGAAATTGGATTAGAGGTGGTCATAGTGACCTGAGAGCGTGACCGCAGTGCCCAAGGGACAGCTGCTTGAGGTCGGTCACACACGACCTTTTTATGAGTAATTTTTTTGTTAGCTCCGTACTTGTTGAGACCTTACCGCCGGAGACGGATATCCGTGGGATAAGGCGTGGTGTGCATTTTTAGGGTCGACCTTTTCTAAACCCACCCCTCCTTGTGGGAAGGCAGCATCGCTGTTATGCTGGTTGTCTGAAGGAAACACCTTACTGCTGTCACACCTCTGTACAGTCAGCAGTACGACTTCGCCTTCGGACCTAGGTTTTGTTGCTTTTAGTCTTACCGCTCTTCAACCGACCTGTCTGGCATGGTAGGATCTTGAGGAACGGTTGTTCCAGCCAGTATAGCTCAGTTGCTTCATCACGATAGGCAAGCCCGACCACCACGTCAAGGTAGCAACAACGGTACTGCTGCCCCTGTATCGTTCATTTATGTTGATTCTCGTGTGAACTGCCCGTCTATCTCTAGCGCATCACCCCCCAGATTCCTAGGGTAGAAAGAACATACGTTATAACTTCTCAAATATCTTCGTCTTGGGCAGTTTATCCCGCAGTGTCGAGTTACCCTCGCCAGTTCGCTTATATACATAGGTTGTGCGGCGTTTACGAGTTTCAGACACACCAGCAGCTGTGCATCCGAATCCTCATCCGGGGTTGGCAGCGCGCGGCGCAACAACCTGGTGAGCTCCACAGCCAGCACCAGTGGGTCACTATCGACTTACAACTTCGCCAACCGGAACTTGTGCAGTGCTTCTTCCTTGTTCACTGAACCGTCGAACTCCGCGACCAACCACTCCGTGACTGTCGCCCATATCGTCTTCCCGCCAACACCGTCCAAACCGTCATATAATGTTTTCGCCCTGCCTTTGACCGGCGTCCCCAGCACCAGCATCTTCAGCTTAGGCTCCTCTTCTCCTACCAGCTACGCAGCGGCCTCAAACTCCTTCAGGAAGCTCAGCACATCTCCGTCCTTAAATTCCTTCGGCCATAGAATCCTCATCCTTAGTGGAGGCAGCGACTGTTAGGTTACTTATTCAAGCACCATTTCACCTATTTAGATATAAGCAGACAAATATGTGAGGCCAATACATGGTTCGATTTAGTATCTGGTTAAACTGTGCGCTGTTGTGATACATGAAACAAATTAAAAGGGGAATTATATGTGAGCACTGATGTGCTGAATTACTCTTTCAATGATAACACGTAGTATGCTGTTCTTGCTTTTCCGATCCGCGCCTTCACATCTGCATCAGATCCACCATGTTCATCAATTATGCTGCCCAAATATGTAAAGGTTTTTACATCTTCCAAATCTTCTCCGTCAATTGTGATTGGATTGGTGCATGCTGTGTTGTATCGGAGAATCTTGCTTTTCCATTTGTGTATGTTGAGACTCCAGTGAAAAAATTATATGACACTTATGAGGTATGGGGTTGTGAACATTGTTGAACTTCACCACCACTGAAAACCTGGAAGCACTGAACAACCTTTTCGTTCTAGTGTGGGATAGGCCAACAATGTGTATCCACGGTCATGCACTCGGGACTCAAACCCAGGATCTCAGGTTACATGCGCGAACGCCTAACTTCTAGTCTACTAAGCCGACATCCAGCGGTATTAATGATTAACGTCAACTAGCCCACGATACTGCATGACCATCTTCCCGCTGAGAAGCCCCTTACTATGACAAAACGGCTATCCAGTGCTTCCAGGTTTTCAATGGTGGTCTAACATTGATTGGTTCATGATTTAAATGATATTAATAAACATTTGACTATGGTAAACTAGATCGGGTATTGATGTGACATAACCAACAAACAGTTGTTATTTTTTACAAACAGATTACACTAGGACAAGTAACACTGATACGCACACAATTGCACGATCATAGCTACATTTCTTGAAATATATTCCAACCGGTAAATGGCCAATTGAAGTTTTAGTTTCCTGCATAGAAATGTTTCCTCAAAAATCTTTTTGCAATGTTAACAATATTTCGAAATTTCATTATCATCTAAATACACATTTTTGTTAACACCAATTTTCAATACGGAAAGCAAGATAATACACAACAAAAATACGAAAATATTTTTATTTCAAAATCTGAAAGAGAAATAGATATGTTGATTATCACAGTGAAAATAGGTTGTTGCTGTTGTACTGTAAGATCTGTTTCGAAGTAATGCTGACTAATTAACAAAAGTAGTAATAATAACAATACAAAGTTAATATTAAAAAAAACAAATATTTTAAAGAAAACAAAATAATGATACAAAATGAAAATACAGTAATGTTATGTATGGTTGAGTGAGTTTGTGTTAGCTGGATTTTTTTTCTACGACTGTACAGTTATTAGTATATAAAGTTTAATTAAAAAACTGGAAATTATTTTCTTCTAAATATTTATTAAACAACTTTTTCGCACGATATAATATTCTAGAAGAATTATGTTTACCAGATTGTTGTTGATAGAATTGTATAATATCCCCAGGTTCTTTAATTTCTAGCATAATTACCTCTTTATATTCTAAGATTAATGATAAACTGAGAAACAGGAGAAATGGATTACCTTGACCGAATTGATTCGGTGGCCGTAAATGTGTTACATTGGTTCTAATATGAATAGGTTCATTTTCAATAGAAAATGAAGATAATCGTTTAGTTGATGTCAAATGTAAAGACTGTTTTTTTATAGAGTTGGTAAAATCCAATAGTGATTCATTAGAGATAATTTCAAATTGAGTTTCTGTAATTAACATCTCAGATGAGGTTTGTTGTGGATTTCCAGAATGATTATCTTCATTAGATAATTTACATGAGAAGTGGGCATCAGAAGGGATAAACGGAGGAGGGGAAGAAGCAGAAGATGGATGGTCTTGTCTAATCTTGTCTGAGTTAAACACAGTAGTGCATTCTTTTTTTTTCAAGTCAACAACATAATTTGAACCTATTAAAGAATTGATTAGACTAACATCTCTTGCTGTGTAATGATGCCAGTTAAGAGAATTTGTTGACGTGAATGAGGAATTCGGCATGTACAAATTACATGTACCATCAGTTAAAACAAGATAACCTTCAGATTTAGAATTGCAAGTTTCAATTTCAGTTAAACTATTATTTTTTACAAGACATAAAGCTGCCCATTGTGATTCAAACATACGTAAAGATTCATCAAAGTTAAATTCACGTTTTAATTCTAAGACAAACCAACGTTGAGTAAAATACATATTAGCTAAATTATGTTCACGGAAAAATTGTGCTAATTCACCATCTGTATACGTTAGAAGATCGTGTAAATCCTGCATATTGTTAATTAATATAGATTGCTGCGTATCACCAAATTTGAATTTAACACGTTGCATTAAAGCGCAAAACGAGAGATATGCTAATGCTTCATCACTTTGAACAACTAACAATGGGCTGGCCAAATCTGACATACCTACAAAAATAAGAAAACATTTGTGATTAACAGCTTACGAGGAAAAACCTACATTTATTTAAAAGGGGGATTTTTCTAGCAATAGCATATGTAGCTAGTCATTAGTAAATAAATAAACGCAGACTAATATCATTCAGTGATCAGTTTCATTTACAAAGGTACTCGAAAACAAGTAGATAGTAGCGGAACACAATCATTTTTTTCTAAAAAAAAATGGACTACTTGAGTGAGAAATTGTATTGGACTACCGAATAAAGTGAATAAATACTACTTCTGATTGGCTCTCCATATCACTGCGTCAAGCAATTTTTTTAGGTTTCATATCTTTATATTATCCTTAAATAATTTTAATTTAGATAAAGTAACACTAATCAAAATTTGTCTAGCTTTGAGATATCTAGATGGTTTTGATAAATATTCCCCAAATTATATGTTGGAGCTACCGGGGTAATTATTAACTCGGAGATAATAAAAGTATTATCAAACAGGATAATTAACAATTGTGTAGGCTGACTACTGTTGGTTATTTAACAGGAAGTAGTGCATGTTGTGACCAAGCGCACAACGTACACATGCATGTGACTATTTTGTGAAACTGACAGATAAACTATTCAGTAACTAGAATCAAAGTAGATAAGGCAGTGTTCGAACATTTAACCAAGTGGATGTTCATTCGCATTTTATGAGTATATACATTTGAGGCGTCCAACAAAAAACCAAACAAACATCCAGTAACCTATGATTTTCAATAAACATATTCAGTCGATAGCGATAATAATACTAATATTTCTACTAGTGAATGTTAATAATACGTAAATTAAAAAGAAGTAGCTGATCAACTAACCTTGACAATATCCAATATTTGGGTGATGTATACAATAAGTAGCTAGAATATCAAACAGTTGACACACCCGATGATGGTTGCCAACAGAACGATAATAGTCTTCTTCTAAAATAAGTGCAGAATGAAAGAAAATACCGATCAAGGAATGTAGGAAGATAACAAAAACAACAAATAATGAAGAAAATTAAACATTTTGTGACAATCATTTAGGTGATATATATGGGAATTTACGGATGGTCACACGTACATTACTCTTAGAAAACATTAACTGAATGCTTATTAATAACCAAATATCACATTTTATAACCCTCAGTAATGGTTGAACTCAATCAATCAAACTGCAGTATATTTGTTCGTTTGGGTGACGCGACACCACACTAAGAGTTAATGAATGTCAGATGACTAGAAGTAGTCCAGTGATCACGGTCTGTTGTTGGATAACACTTGTCAGAAATCAACTGTTATTGTTGAAAGTCCAGCAATCCGTTAGTCAAGATTCAAATAGTCCACTGACTACGACAATGAATTATGTGAACTCGAGTTCTATGAACAGCATCTGCCCTCTAAAGAGTGTAGATAAAAAACTTCAAACAACTATCAGCTAGTATCAAACCTAGGTTTGAATTTCTTACAGGTTGAATTCAACCATCTAGCACTCTATAAACGCTTATCGTAGTCATAACATACTTTAAGCTTAGACAACGATTTGACACAAGTGTAGGTAAGAGATGGAAGTTGAGAGGATAAGACAGGATAACTAAATAACAAACTATAAACTTCCTTCAAGTACTTATTTATCACTGAACTGGGTTATTCTTGAACTAAATGTAAGATGTACTAACCATTCATGAAGTACTGGATGCATAACTATTGGTTGATCCGTATGTGCAATGTAATATTTAGGAAATAATTAGAACTAATTTTATTTGAAAGCCCAGGATCCTGTACTTTGTGGGATTGTATGTGTCTCACTGCTAACTGATAAGTCCCAGGTTAGGATGCACTAGCTCCCCAGTAATAAAAACCAACTTCAAAATTAAAGAATTTTAATAAAATCTTCATTTTAAAAGATAATAACTCTCAATCTTTAGCATGATAATTTATTTAGGGGTATATACCTTACTCTCAATTTTACACTTCATGAGCCGCATACGAAAAGAAAGGAAGTAAAATAATCACTATTGCCTAGTGAATCCTATTTATAATGAGCAGGGAGCCTGATACACAGCAATTTTAAAACCTAATAAACGTAATTTTGTCGCCAACACTTGTATACTTTCAGAACAATAGCTACACCCCTCCGAATCATTGATATAATAGTATTAGCAGCACATAGGTTCAAAATTGCAGGTAACGAAGTTAAATTGCTCACTAAATTCATAATTCTTCATCAATGAGAAAATTCAGGAAATTTTCGAGAACGTGTCAATTTTCACTTGAGCCGAACTAGGTATTGAATATATTAGAAAGAACTCATGAACTTACAAATTTGTAGTATAAGACAAAGTACGGAAATTTATTTTTTTAAAAAGAAATACTACTTTAGCTAAATGCAATTACAGACTCTATTCAGTAGTACAAATTGTTTCGATTTACTACTGTTTTAGGAAGGTTTAATTTTAATTTGTCATATTTTTCCTCATTGTTTTTTAAACTTAATTAAGCTAAATTTACTCATATAGAATAAATTATAACGAAAATCTTCAGATAACATCAGGATATCTACGGAAACTGCAAACGGTTCTTAGCGAGATAATCACACTCGTCAACCGGTAGAAATAAGTTCTCTTAATAATAACTACTGTAACGACAATTTAAAAGTTGAATAAAGAAATAATTACGGGAAAAAAGCTTACTCCAATCTGTGCGAACAACATCTATGCTTATTGAAGCTAATGTAGATAGTTGATGTTCAGACATCAAACCCATTACGTACAACTTTTTCCAATTTTCTTTAAGAGTAGCATACTGTTGCGCTTTGATATCCAGTAAATGAAAACGTTCTTGACCGGTTGTGTCCGCTGGACAAACTGATAATAATATACGCCAACCAACTTTACGTAGACTGTGCTCTAGACCATTTAGATAAACATCTAGGCTGAAAGGAAAATAATTTATTTAGCATACTATAAGTATTGTACTTATAATCAGAGAATGTGTAGGTGTTTTATAAACTTTGTACTTAACTATCTTATTTTATTAAACAGGACTAGTAATCATAATTGAAAAGCTGATACAAGATATCACATAAATACAAGCCATCAAAAGGTAGAGTATTGATTTTTCTAGTCAGAACATTTTGAACTCTTCAATTGAGCTGTAGAATCACGAATATTATTGCGGTAGTAGTTAATAAGAAAGTTAATAAAAAAGTAACCAAGTCAAGGTCAAGCTACTTAAAACATGCGTAGGATAGCAATAGCCAGACGATTAGAGATGAAAATAACACCCAATTACATACCAAATCAACAGACTAGACTGGTAACTACATCCTAGAAATCTTTACGAGACCATCTGTTTTTTTTTTCAATTTTGTGCTAATGATGTCCAGAAAGACTAAGAAGGTTGAGTAAAACAACCTTAAAATGACAACATACAAGTCAAAATCAACAGAGGTTTTAAACTTGTAAATCAGAAGATGGAAACAGAATATTGAGCCACATATCTACAAAACACCTCAACGATATAAATGTTGAGTATTATTTATTTTGACGAGTATATCAACACTAACAACCAGAGAAGCTGAATCTAAAAATGAGTTGTCAAACTTTTGTACAGGACATTAAATTTTAAGTGAAACAATATAGTCTCTATTGTTTAATAGAATCGTTAAAAATCAGTTAAGTGCTTCACTGATAAAGTTTGTTTATTGAAATTGAGATTATTAATATTCTATGCTGAAATGAGTTAAAGCAATCTGACTTCCAACAAGTAAGTTGCCAGTGTGAACTCTGCTCCGCTTAATGCAGTTTGGGAAACCAAACAGCTATACGTTAGTGTTGAAGACGTTATAACCCGAGAACTCACTTGGAAAAGGTCCTAACTTTTGTAATTTTATTCTGAAAATTTGAATTTTATGTTTTCGCGCCGAGATGCTTAGTTGATCTACAACTTACATTTCCCACTCGGAAATCCTTGATTGTCATTGGTTGGCGGATTTTTTTAGTACGCTATTTTGTCGTTCTCACAAGGGCCTTCCTATGATTGCATGAATAAGCTTGATTTGTGTGCTTAGTGACCTCGTATTTTTTGGATGCTTGTAGAATATACTATCTACGCCTTATCAAGACTTCTTGATCTAGTTAGCAGGGCCGGGGACAACGGTTTATAATAGCCTATCGTGTCATTGTATCTTTGACCTTCGTTCCGGCTACCGAGTAAGGTGAACTCGTAATAGCAATCAACCACATCACTTAAACCCAATTCAGTTTGATACATCAAAACTGGATGAAATATGCAGTACTTACTAGAATTGATTTAGATAGATAATGCGTCCATTATCATCCATGTATAATCTCATTTGTAATTCTGATATCGGAGGATGAATAGTGTGAAACATATCATCTCCATCCATTCCAATTCCTGGAACAGCAATGACAGTGTAGAAAAGTAAAGTTGTTGATTTACATATAAGGCTCTAATGTACAATTAATTTGTGAGGTTAATAATACCATCCGATTACCTATACTACAACAAGTGGGATCGAAATTTAAAGCCGTGATTCATTTATGGGAAGTCGAATGGATAACCCGCTGAATCATAATTCTGTTTGAAAGACGCTATTTGGGAATAACTATGCTATTTCATCGAGACAAACGGAAAATTGGATCGAGATCAATGTTTCAAATTACAATGTACATCATCAATGAAGCAAAAATACAGAATCCCTAGATTTCTGGGAATTCTTTTAAGTACATCACTTTTCAGTACGACTTTTTCTAAGTTGTCATGTATTGATTTAAAACTTGGTTTACAACAACTTACTGAAATAAAACAAGTTTAAATAAACACTACGTTTATCTTCAGATTGAATTACTTCTTAACACGTTCCTGTGGAAAACTTTCCTTTGCTAGGTAAGACATCCTCATCAATTTCAGTTACAAGAAGTACTGAACAATCTAGTACTAAGCATAGGACATTAATTTAAGCATCAAAACTTTAGGCTACAGAAATTTTGTATCATATAGTTAAGCTTATTTTTTACCCGATAAATAAATTATTACCTATAGCCTTGCGCATATTTGCAACAGTTTTTTCAAATCGCTGAGTAATTTGTGAAAAAAGTGATGGTCCTTTAGAATCACTGAATGTTAGATCATTTTTTGTATCATTTTGTGACTTTCTTCTTCTGGAGATAGACTGAACACCATGGGGAATAATAATATCCCAGTCTTGAAGATCTAATGTGGAATAAAGAGATGACGTATAGAATGAAGTGTATTATTCAATAGTAAAAATAATGATTAATCCCCAAAATGTGAAGAGCAGTTATTTTCATTTTCGGTCTAAAGAATTCAAAGTCCGTAAATTGATTAGCTCCTATTAGAGACCTTCAATTATAAATACCGATAATTCGAACAAAATAGGTTTTTAATACTGAACAGTATTTAAATATTGAACATGATGAGAATAGAAATATTATTGGGAAGGTTGAAAATGAGAACTTCAAGTTACACTTGAAACGATATGTACCTTGCTAACAGTTCTGAAAGAAGATAAGTCAGAACCAATAAATAAAAGATAGTAATTTTACTGAAAATCTGGATTAGAAACGACAAATTAACAGTGGGGTCGGATTGTGAGTATTAAACAAAAGAATGGTCGAAATGATAATTAATATATAATATGAGTTAATCCGTTCGACTCGAATTTAAAATGACTTATAAACATATTTTTCTAGTAGTTTTTCAAGAAAACTGCAATAAGCAAAGCATTTAGAAAACAATAGATACAGTATAGACCTAGGGTGAATAATACAATGTACTTGTTAGGAATGCACTTGCCTTCGGTTTCTATAATCCGAATGGGACTGTAGATCACAGAGTTTGTGAAGATATCTTAACCAACTGACGGAAGATCCAAAACCTGTTCTACATACTGTTGTATAGATAGGATGAAATGTAGAATCTACACGATAAGTGTAGGATCATTCTTAGTACGAGAAGACATCTCTCTACATGGCAAATATCAGAATTTAAATGATCAAATCACTAAGAAACTTTTCACAGAAGCTTTACATTATCCTACTATACTGCACTCGAATCATTCACTAAGCAAAGATATTGAAAAAACAAAACATTTAAAAAACATACCAGAAACTTTAGGCTTTAGGGTTATTTTAAGTCGTAAAGTGGAGTCAGATGACGTGACTATCGACGCATCCAAATCCCAGTCGGATTGTAAAGGTAAATAAAACTGTTCACCGAATTCATCAATAGCCAAGTAACAAACCGAGAAATCACTAAAATTAAACCAACAAATAATACAGTTTCTTTTATGTACTTTGTTAAATGTGTGATTAACACGTGTGTGAATCACTTCAACAGACATGAATAATAAGAATATTCACCAGATATAATGTAAGGATTCCTTTACGGGATGTATACTGTGTTTTACAAGTAGAAGTAAAAATATTAAGTCACTTGACTTTAAAGAATCAGGATGCATAGGGTAATAATAGATCTCGCCCATGTCAAATGAGGAATTCATATCATGACTGTCGCGGTTTCACAATAAGTAAAACCGAGGTAAATGATGGAGGCTCGCTTCTAATACAAATTTCCTTCGAAAACCTTTTCACAGTAGTACGGAAATATGATATGTTAAGTTAGTTGTAAAGTATTTCAGTTATTGCGCTGAAAAGTACAGTGTGAATACCATAAGTATTGAAGGGCAGTTTAGCATTTAATTTTCTTCTATCTTAAAAATGTTTAGATATTTACATCAAAAATAACTTCAGCATCGGTATTAATGTTTGCTGTCTAATATTTTCAATACACTTGTGAGCTTGTTTCAAACTTTTTTTAAGAAATAGTTATTTTCAAAACCACCATATTGTACACCAATAAAGAATTTCCAGTCGAAAAGACAGATTAGAATCAACCATACAATTGTTCTAAGTTATTTATTTATTTATTTGAACACATAAATATTGGTACAAGAGGGCACCAAATATATATGCACCACATAGTGTTCTAAGTACATTCCAAATACCGTAAAAAAATGAGCATTTACTAGCAGGGATAAGATTTTTGAGAATTCAATACAAATATGAAAGTACTTATCGATGAATGTCTCTTAACACTAATTACCGTTATTTTGTGCACTTTACCTAGCAATTGTTTAATATGGCATGTAGTGAAATGTATGGATATGTCATTTTTTTAGTCTGAGGACTGTCCAACTCCAAATATAATTAAGTCAATACGACACCTCGAAATCATGACCAAATGTGTATCTACATCATATGAAGTCTTTCTTGTTATTAACCCTCCTTCTAGACACAAACTTATTTACTCCCCAAACCGACTTAATTCTGTCGATGCTAGATACAACACCATCACAAAACGGGAAGATTATGGCAAAAATTTGTGATCATCTGCTTTGTTTATTCATGAGATTTTTCACATTATACGATACCATCAAATAACCATTTTTTAAAAGTCTGCTAATAGACAAATCGTTTACCAGTTAATATCAAAGCATTTACGCAGCAAACCCAAAAGAACTTTGTAATCTGTAATATTTGGATCAATTGCGAATTTCTTATATTGGTCAGTACCACTTTCTGTGCTAAGCTAAAAGATTTGAGCTATGAAAAAGTATTGATCTTACCTTGGCTTTAATGTACACAACTTCTCGAGAACTTCTTCCTAAACTCATTTCGTTTAGTATTCTCTATTCACCAAATATGCTGAAGCTAAAAATAAAAAACGTTTTTATAGTCATACAGATCTTCATTTTCAGAATCAATTACCAGAAAAGAAAGAGAAACCATTCCAAAGTTATAAAAGTGATAAAAAGCTGGTGACAAATACATCAAGAAAAGTGGATAATATTACGTCAGGTTTCTGTTTCACATGTATTATAATAGTTGGAGAGTAAAAAAGCAGACCCATCCAATCAAAATGATATGGAGCAAACTAAGGTAACCATATACAAGAGAATGGATTTAAAAGTAGAAGGCTGACAGACTCATTGTCTTATCAACTAGCTTTCCAAGAATTGATCCCTTGCCGGAAAATTCACTCGTTAACTTGAAGTACATAGATGACATATTTCTGTTCAGTAAAGACTCGGACAAAAGGCAGTCTTTTGAATATACTAAGCAATAATGAAAGCATGTTTGGGATGCACTTATTTCCTTGTAGACACAAAATGTTGCATTAGGACTGATTTCTGCCAACTCCTGAAATAATGATGGGGAGTGAAGTACTTGGGTGGGTCCACCACTGCACTTATCCTGACGGTTCCACCTCAAAGGTCATTGTCGTATGAAATCACGGCAAGAATTCAGAAAGTCCGGTTGGCTTTTGCTAACTTACGTCACCCGTGGTGTGGGCAACATGTCTCTGTCAACCAAAGGACGAGTATATCTAGTTTTAGTTCGTTCTGTCCCACTTTATGGTTGCGAAACATGGTCTTTAAACAGAGGATATTCGTAGGTACATAGTATCTGATTATAGGTACGTTTGAATCATTCGTTGATAAGTTGAGAACACCGAATGAGAAATGCTGAGAAAAGATGCAGGATACTAGTCAAAGATGGGTTGTGAACGTTCATCGGGAGAAGTATTTGAGACGCCTATTGCATAATATGCCCGTTCACCGCCTATCTTGATGGCCAATGATGATCGATGTAAGAGTAGGTTGGAAGAAACCTATGTATGGTCAAACCAAGGAGCGTCGTTAGTCTATAAAGTCAATGACCATTGGTCTAAGCAGGTTGTTGTGTTGGTGTACTCGCGACTACCGTGACCAGTAGTTGAAGACGTTCGGCGGAAAGGCCAAAAGTTCAACATTCATACTTTTCATTCTCCGTTTCCGAATCATATTTTTAAGTTAGCTTCATTAAAACCATAGACACTACTATTACATTCACATCTCTGCTGTGAATCTTGATTTCTTCTCGCTGTGATTACGTTGCGATGCGACGGAAACTTTAACCAGATCCTCGGTTGTTTACGATAAGACGCGATCAAGAGTAAAGTTGTTGATTAGTTCGATATAATAATTGCTCAGTTAATATTCAACTAGGTTTTGGCAAAATCTGCTATTGATTATTTTAGTACGATATTCTGTTATACTTGGGAGATTATTTCATTTACTTTTCACATACATACAATATAAAATTCGTCTGAAGTTATTTAGATGTCATTATTACTGATTAGAAATGCAATCCGTATATAAAGAGTAGTGTTATGCATAAGACACATTCTTCCCAGTCGACAAATAGTCATCGGCTGGGTTGAAAATATTGGGAAATATTGTTAACGTAAAATTTTAGATGTTCAATAACCGCACTCACACATCTCGTTCACCACATTAGTATCTTCGTATTGTGTATTGAAAGTGAACGTTATAAAGATGAAAATGCAATCTCTTCTGATAGAAGATGCAGTAATTTATGATAGTGAATGAGAGAGATTCGTAAATTCACATGGTCCGAATCAATACTAAATGGCTTTACAAAGCAAGATTATAAAACTGGGTATATATAAAAAAAGAATAAATATCATCCATTCGGTCAGATCAGTATAGTTATCGAAGTAATAACAAATACAATCGGCGATATTGTCTTGCGTCACGTGAAACCAACTGCTTTTTATCATGGAACAGAATGACGCGCTTCACTCCAAGATAAAACTGGGTTCCAACAAAGGATGGGATTGAAATTCTTGATGCTTCATTTACAGATTTCAGTGAAGCTAAGCAGTTATTCATAACATATATGGTTTTCTGAAGGTGGTATTTATAGGTATGTATCTTGGGGATTGTGATTACAATTTTTGTAAATATACGTCTTTTAAAACATACCATATCTCTAAGTCCGATCAACTGTGTAAAAAGTCTATCTTTTTGAAGGAACAAGGGCTAACAGTAAATGGTTTTTCGAGTACTTGTTTAACAGGAATGTAAACTATTTGGTGCGAATTCTGAGACGTTTCTCATCCAGGAATAAATTAAAGAGACGTTCTACTGTTCTCCTATTGCAGGTGACTTCGTATCACATATCAAATGCCTGCTTCTGTTTGAGCACTCGGACAGTAACATAGCACACACACAAATAAATTGACTTGTGTTGCGCATATGTATCAAGTACCCATTTGTGGTAATATTTGTGTTCAAATAAATAAATACACATATCAAAGGCAGTTGCAAGACACAGTCGTTGATGTACGGAAGTATATTCTCCTTACAACAAATAAAAATAAATTTGGATTTCCTTTCAAAACGTTGAAAATTAATCTATCCATGGACAAACGTAGTCAATTTTTACATTATAACTACCATGCAAGAAACCTGTAGAAGAATACATTCAAGCTATCACAGAATAATAGAAGCCTTTTCAATAAATTTGTGGCTGAAAGTTCCAAAGGCTTACTGTGTGAAAAATTAAAGTCCATTGAATGTAAGTGGTTACAACGGAAGGAACCTAGTAATACCAAGTACCGTCACCTCCAATTCGCCCGCATAAAACTTTGCCAAGTTATTTAATTCTTTAGGTATTAGTAATAAGGAAAGGAGGTCTCAATTATTCCTTACAGTTTTGAACTTTGTACAAGTCCAATCTCGTTTTGAATATACCAACATAAGGTGCTGATATTAAGTGTTCCGTTAGGAGTTCCAGTAATTCACTTCTCGGTGCGAGAAAAGAAACTTCAGACGTAGACGATTTGATCTCGATTTTTGAACTTTTTTCAAATGTCCTCTCAAATGATCAGTACTAGACGGAAGGAAATGATAAGACATATTCATACCAAGGTCATCGTCCAATATACGATAAGCTAACATTAGATCATCGCTTATTCTACATAAGAGAACGGAAGTTGAAGTGTCTCAGTCTGACTTCATAAGATAAGTTAGATAGACCTTTAACCGTTTTATTTCCCCATCGTTGGAATCGTTCTAGTAAATCCGCTACATACTTGAAACAAGTACTCACTGCTTAAAATGGTTTAGTTGGTTGTGAACGGAATAGAAAAGGCTTTGCTTAACGGGCCCCCGCATCTACTGCAGTGGATCAGCACCAAGACGCCTATACTATAACGAGTAAATGCTTAGTGATTGGAGGTGCTCTTCATAGGGCTTGAATTTTGGTTTCCGGACTGATTTCATGGCTCGCCGTTGGATGCGCTAAAGAATGTCTTTATCATTTTGGAGTGAGAGAGGAAATACTATGTTTCCGTATTCTAAATGGAGTCAAATAAAACTGCTGAAAATTATATGGCAAGCTCTTCCGTCAAACTGGCCAAAAATGTTCTTTAATGTTACCAAAGCAAGGTTTGCTCGAAAGGCATTTTTGTCACAGTTAGTTAAGACTTCAACTCGTAGGGCTACAACACTCCTAAATCTTTTTCAACTTGGAATACTTGTAGAGAGGAGTTTCCTAAGTTGTGACCGTAGTCCGCGACATGTCGCAGATGGACTACTTTACTTTTTGAAGTGTTAAAGGTAAGTTCATTGTCATCTGCCCAACTTTGAAGTCGAGTCAGATCCTCCTAAAGTGCTAGTTTATCATCTCGGTCGCGTATCTCTCTCCACTGTTTCAAATCATCTGCAAAAGGCAATAAGTCAGACGATACCTGTTTTGGATATAAAACAAGAAAAGAAGAGGTCCTAATGCATAGTTCTAGGGGACCCCACTAAGAAATTCCATAACCTGAGAGAAATTCGAGTTATCCCTGACACTAAAATGTCGATTTTTAGATAAAAAGTTAGCTAGTCAATAAAAGGTTATTTGACACTTAGTCGTCTGAGCTTATTAATAAGACATACATGGTTGACCCCATCAAAAGCTTTTGAGAAGTCAAGATAAATGACGTCAACCTTCCTCTTACGATCAAAGATGATTGTCCATCTGTCCACCGCAGTCAGCAGGTTGGTTATACAAGAATGACCATTCTTGAATCCCATATTCTAAATGAGGTCTCACGAAAGTCGGGTGTATTAATCTAAACATCTCTTCATCCAAATACTGGAACGACGTACGAATGGACTGTAGTCTTTTACAGCAACAGCTTCACAGTTACTCGTAGTTTTGAGGTCTCTGTTAGTATGACTCCCGAATCTTTATAGTTTCTTAAGTTGTGTGACGCAAATCCATATATTGTGTGGTGATACGAATCGTTATAGTTATTTAATTGCGTCACCAAACCGTTGGTAAGATTTACTTCTAATGACCATCCACCCATCCCTGCTATAACAGCCATCCGAATAATCTTTTCTATTAGTTTTACAATTGCATTGGTTAGACTAACAGGTCGATAGTTACCAACTGAATCTCTACTCCTATACATTGGACTAATTATTACATTTTTCAGTCCCTTAGCAGTCTGAACTGCCGCAGATACATATCAAACAGTATGGCTATAGGTTCAGCAATTACATATGATTTAGCTTTCGCAATACAAGGATGAATATCATCAGGCCCATTGAACGTATGAGGCTTGAAATGCTGAAATAATCATAAGATAGTACCTTTCTCAATAAATACGGCATCCATCAAGAAGCCGCTTTAATTATACTGAATTCTTTGACATTCCTCATTGCTGACAGAAAACACTTTATTGAGATATACCGATAAATCTTTAGCTTTTTCGTCAGCATCTCTTGCCAATATTAACGGATTTTCTTGTATCAAATGCGGTGGAATCCTATCAACTCTCTCAGTTCACCTTTCTATATACGAGAACAACCGTTTCGGTATACTTTTACAATCTCTAACCAATTGTTTTTCATACGACCGTCTAGTTTTGTAGAATTATGGTCTACTATGATATTAGTGCTGCTCTAATAATAGACCTAATCCTAAAGTTGTAGATTTGTTATGATGTAACTGCCTAATCTATAAGATCTTACGTGGGAGTTACATCGTAATCTACACCAACTCATTGCATCGTGACAATTACCAATACATGATAGAGAACAATCTTAGGCTAGAAATGGAACAATATATTTAATATGAATAAAAGATATAGGGTAACATTCAGCAAGGACCACGCCAGCAAGGCTAAGCCAACTCCGATCAACTCGGATTAATTCCTATTCATTGTTCCCGCCTTTCTCTATTCTTCTGTATTTCTCCGCGTTAAATGTTGGATGTCTATTTCCCATATAGTCTCGTGGTAAGGCCCAATGCTACTACAGTTTTACTTATTAACGCTTTACAAGCATTCCTAATCGCACAATAACTGGATTGTAGTGTTCTAAGCCAATAAAGATAAACATATTCCGTACCTTTTCCTACGTCTAAGAAGTTTCTCCATCTGTTTAGTTACCTGTGGAGGACTGTTGTTCTTTCTGCGTGGTACGAGGCATGGTACAAACGACGATATGACGGATCTAAACTTGTCTTCAAATATAGACCATGCTTCTTCAACTGATGAGCTAGTATCTACTGACCAATCTGTCTGAGCAGCGCACTCCGAATGGCTGATATGCTAGCTCTCCATATATTTGGGCGAGGCTTAACCTGAAAGTATATCACGTCACCAGCCCTAAACGTGGACGATAAAACAGTATGATCGCTAATTAGGCGGGCAATATCCTCTGTCGCATGAAAAGTTATCAAGTTTAACAGAAAGGAACCTTGGTTTGCACCAGAACATATGGGTTTGGATACATGCCGTGCTCATACATGCCTCATTACTGTTATCAGGAGTATACAGCAAAAGAGTTTGTAGATCCTATAGGGGCCTTGGCAGCACTCGCCTCCTAAAACTGACTATTCGAAAACCCATTAGTCGGAGATTTCCCTCACCGTTTTGTCGTCGGGTTTCTAATTTATCTAGTGTCATTTTTCTTTTTATCCCATCTTCAGGAGACATATCAGGTCTAACCCGAATGTCTATTTTGTCATGACTACTGTAGTGAACAAGAACAGCAATGGGAAACAATCGAACGTATTTGACAACAAATTACAGTACTTATTAATAAAATCTAACAACCATATATTAAATGCTCGATTCGCAAAATGTCTATCATTTGTCCCAAAATGACTCAGACTTCATTGTTCTTGCATTTTCATACAAATTGCAGTCTGTCTTCATTCTTTACTGTTCGATCTTCTTGTATTTCTGCTGCCAGACATTCTGTTCACAAATAACATCGCATAATACTTATGTCTGCATAAGTAGCACACACCACAACTACGAGCGCTACTTAACAGAAGCTCACGTTGCTTCTCAAACACTTGGATTACCTTAGGGATATGCTTGGTCGGAGTTCAACACTATCGTCGGTCCTCTTACGTATTATTATAAATTTCTTGATAATAACGTCTTTAGTTATCTTGTAAGATGCTATGGATATATTCTCCGAGCTTTTAAAGTTCATACGCGTGTCTCATTTGGGGATAAAGATAGTTTGACTCTAAGCAATAACTCACAATAATATTCGATGAGGCTAAATTCTTCACAACTACGCTGGGGTGGAGTTCTGTCTTACTATCAGACTTTGGTACCGTCATTTGTGACACAGAATGGGGTTTCATCAATGACTTGCCAACTAAGTGTGTTCCGCTTATAGGTATTTCTTTTCACTTCTTTTTCTCTGTACTGTAGTCCATTTTTCATCACTCAGGTCACTGACATAGGGACTATTTGCAGTGGTGATTGTTTTATTCAAGTCTTTGTTTTCTAATGAAGATGCATGACTACGGATTTCGCTTCGCTCTTCGTTAGTCGTAATGGCGATTTTACTGTTCCGTTAATCACAGTCGGGTTGTACAACAGCAGGTACTACACTGACAGTTTTTCACTGTCTGTACCCGTATTACCAGCACAACAACAGTATTTCTTCTTACAGACCAAAGCTAATAGGACCACAGCCTCCTGGATCAGTAGCGTTTTATTCATACAGAGAATCACACAAAGCCAATGCAAGTTAGGCCTCGAGCATATTTTTTATGCGGTCGGACTTAGACGGGTATGAATTTTATGGAACCACTTTTCACACTCATTACATCACATTCCTCCCTCCACGGGGAGTAAACAGTTTGGCTGTCCACATTTATAAGTATTGTCAAACATTGTAATTAGATTAAGAAGGTATAAAACACAATTTGATCACAATATGAACTTGAAGTGTCGGATTCGATGAGAAAGAAGCTAGCACAAGATACATTTTCGCAAAATTTAAAACCCTAGTCGATACACTCCAAGTTAAATTAGACTAAGCATGCTTTCTGCTGCAAAAAATACACATAAACATGGATAATCATAACATGTGCTAAATCATTGCCATTTTTGAGACGAGCGGTTATATGTGACGATTTTGAACGGAATAGAGAAGGCATTCGCTTAACAGGCTCTTGAATCTAGCAGCAGTGGATCATCAATACCTTCAGGCAGGAACCTACGTATATTAGCGATAAAAGAGGAAACAGAAATTGGTAAATCATAGTCATATACTATCCTTGGTCCTTAGGAATATGTCGAGTTTTCTCTTAAAGCATTCCTTGGAAGTAGCTTGTACAAGCTCTGTCGGCAGAGAATTCCAGCATTTGACTTATTTTAAGGAGTAGAAGTTATTTCTACAGTTCGTTCTTCTGTGTTGTCTTCAGTTTCTAGGTGTTACCCCTTAGGTTTGTGTTGAAGCTTAACTTAAGTATCTGTTTAGGAGGGTGTACAGAAGTGTTGGGGATTCTGTAAGCCATTAGAAGGTCATTTCTAGGACGTCTGTACTCTAAAGGGTAGAGGTTCAGTGACTGGGCGTATTGTGGGAAAATACGATATTACTGTTGATCAGGGACGCTTTTTCAGAGTCAAACATTGCTTCTTATGTTTATGTCTGTTTCTATCACTTCATGAAACGATCAATAGAAATAAACTTTGTATGTTGCTCATGTAACCTTCAATGACTTGTAGATTTGAGTCCAGTTTTGAGGTAGGTTGAGCGTCGTGAATGCTTGATGGCCAACGTGTTTGAGACAATGCGTAAAACAGAATAACAGCAGAAAAGAAAGCGCATAAAATAAAAATAGATTTGGTAGTGAATTAGTTAGCCACTTGGTTTCCACTAAAATATAACAAGGTATTGTATGTATTGGACTAGTTGGCCTTCAGTCACTTGCTTTAGTGCACAAGGTCACTTGGCTGTCAAGGTTGTCTTGTACTTTGGAATATGTAAATGCTTATTTAGTTTGTTTGACTTACTGATACTTCATCATATGTACATAATGCATCCATTTGTTCATGTGTCTCCAGAAAAGTCCAGGTAGACTCAAGTCTTACAAGTTCTTATTTGTCTAGTGAGAGGAATCTTGTTACCAGTGTAATAGGTGCTCTAAGTGATTATATGCCCAGGAATCAGTATCGTACGTGTGGCTCCACAGAACAGGTGTTTAGCGTGAAATTTGAGGAATGTGATGCAAGCAGTAAGTTTGATATGTCTCCCAAATTAAAGTTCTTAGAATATAACCCAGCCTACTCTACTGTTCTATCTCTAGTCACTTGTAAAGGATCATACATATGGGGGATTTCGGTAATTTTCTTCGTTAAACTAACATCTTAGTTTGGCGGTAATGCTACACTGCTGTATGCGGAGAGAAATACATGTACAATAGACTTGAAGCTGCTTCCTACTCCTTCACGTAGGTGTTGTTAATTTAATTAGTCTTGTATTTAAGATACTGGTGATTCCTTGTTTTCCAGCAGACCGCTTATGGCTATCTGTGATACTTTCAGGTAAGAATGTAGTTTTTGTATCGCATTTTGGTGTAGTTGTGCATCTTCTCATTGGCAGGTGCGGTTTATTTCTTTGTGCAATCGCAATGTAGTTTTGTCGTACTACTTAGAGTCAAAAGCGCTCTCAGTAGATGCAAACGACAGGTGGGTTCACTTGATTTGGTGCATCATCTATTAGATTTGTTGTAGTAACACGAACTGATTCAATAACAGTATTCTCAGCACTAACTCTTACAGAACTCTATACGATAGCACGTAGGTTATTTGCTCTAACAAGCATTTTTAAGATGTTAAATCAACACTTTGGTCAGACCTCTTGCCGAAAAGCGTACCTTCTTCACTTGGAGTCCGTTGGTTGGCCTTCGCAGATTCCAAGGTTAGTTCACCTTTTTAACATATATTTACCCGGTGAAACTAGTCTATGGACGACCTTTGAGCGACGCTAGGCTGACATTGAGTGTCTACTTGATAACCAGAACCAAATGAGGGTTAGAAACCTTTGCGATGAAATATATTAGAAGAAACTAATGGATTACAGTGAATATACTTCTTTTACATGATTTAAAAACTTATCAAGGTTTGCTAAAGTTTCAGATGTTTTGAAATCATATTGCATACAGTATAAAAAGTCATAAATTCCAAGTACCTGTCGAGTATATTTACGGAAATGCTACTTACACAATCCTACTTTATACTACGTCCCCTGTTGTATTTTCGCTTTCTCACTGCCGTTTCAGCTGTCTGCACGATACATCCTACTCCTCCGAATGATTGGTGTACAAGTGTTATTTTAGTTGCACATATGTCACGGCAGTACTCATACCACTGGACTGCTGAAGTTTCATAAACAACTGCAAACGCCGCATCCAGTGTTACTGGTGTATTTATTACCCAATTTACAACTATTATCATAATCTGATTCAGTTTCAGTAGCAATCGAGCAAAGAAAGTCCCCGTTCTAGCAGACTTTCTCCTTCAACATGAAGGACAACGAATTATAATCTCACATTAGAATTTACAGTTGATGATTTAGATTAGGAATTAGATTTCGTGTTTTCATCACGAACTGACATCAGCTATAGTGCCAAAACTCTACTTATCCAAATGGATGAGTGAATTTCGCGCCAAAATCCAAGGATTGCTGTCTTGTACGTGATTAGTTCGTCCATAAATTATGGCCTAGCCGCTTTTTTAGCCGAAGATAAAATGTTCTGATTAGCGATTGTTTGCTTCCTTGTCGATTCACTCATGGTAAAATATTCCTTGGGGTGGTATCTTTGTAGTTCAGTCGTCCGGAATGAGTTAATATTAACTCTTGCTGACTGCCCCCAAATGCCGTGGTACGGCCGAGAGTGGGGAGAGTCCGCTCTCCCTCTCAAAATGCTCTCACATGGCCATGCATATATAGCCTCTGCCAGGGAAGTCCTACTCACTGCCTTCACGTGGCGGGGGTGTTGTTTACGAAAATGAGAGGGCGAAAAGCGAATGTCCGGCGCTTTAACCGGACCCCGAACCAATGGTGCACAGGGGCTCCAGTATCCTGAAGGAACTAATGGCGTATGAACCAATCGTTGGTCACCGGCTACCATGGGACTGCATCTGCTCACGATGCTCCATTGCCTTGTGGGTCAGACGTTCAGGTCGAAGGCTTGGGGTGTGGCCCCCTAAGAAAACCACCTGCTTCGGTTTGGGCACCCGGGCAGTATCACAGCCCTCACACAAATCAATTGAGATTCGTGTGGCGCATATGTACTTGGTGCCTCCCTGTACCTATACTTATGTGTTAAAATAAATAAAATAAATAAACTCTTGTTGACTAGCGTTAGGCTATGTAGTAGTATGGATAGCCTAACAACCGACTTTCCGCCTCTTGCAATCCTAACCGTCAGACTTTTAGCTTGTGATGTGATACAAAGCTGAAGTTATCATTTTAATCAGTGTGAAACTTATCTTGATTCACTTCGCGTACTCTGTTCAGGCTTTTCAGCCTCCATCTTAATGTCACTTAATACTTACACGAACGTATATGAAATTCGCAACTCTCGTATTTCTATAGGTTGTAGGTACTTTTCGTTTGAAAATTGCTTAACATTCAGTAACAGACATAAAATAACCCAAATAACTATGTATTACATATCACTATCGGAGCTAGCATCATGATTATCATTCTTGTTCCTATATATGGAGCTCACAGCTACTGATGTGTATACCATCACTAGTTATTACTGAGGTGGGAACAATTGTTTCGAATACTGAAAAGCGAATTAATTTGTACTTTCGTCAGAAAGTACATAAATAAAGCCTAGTTCCAAGTAATATTGACGGCGTAACTTATGAAGTACTTTGTTGATTATTCATTATGCAGACCCAAATCACTCACTTAAGATTTGTTCCGTGACCTCTATACGTACATATGTGTGTCGATTCGAAGCCATACATTTTGTCTCAAGTTCATGCCAGTGTTTACTCATTTAAACAGAAATGGATAAAGGGATATTTTCATTAACCCATGAATTACTTGTGAACAACTTATTATGTATAGCTGTTGGTTGTTGATAATAATTGTGATAAAAGCGTTTCAAACGACTACGATTAAATGACTGATTAAAAGAACATTTAGCCGCAGAGTAATAATCAGGAATACAAATAATTAATGTAACTATCACTTACAAAATTTAGTGATCTCCAAACTGGCTATAAAGTAGACCCATTGACGAACCGTTTATTTAGTAAATTATGGGATAGAATGGATATACAATGTCTGTTTGGTCGTTAACTAGAAACAGGTGTCTAATAAAAATCTAAGCACTGGACTTAAGAGGGAGATACTTATCAACATGACCATTATTGTTAAAAACTCCAATGAACTGAAAAATAAGGGTGTTTTATAGTCGTTGGTCACAACTGCAGCATTACATAAAGCGTAATTGCAATGGAAAATAATTAATTAACCTCATTTAGACTTGAAGATTTACTGCAAGGAATCACGGGTATTATGACGATGCAAAACACCAAACCGAAGCGTTACCATAGGCTAATTTCAAGGATAAGCGTTGACACTTGTTAAAGAACCAGCCGGATAATCTGGAGCACTAGAGGCACTTACAGAACTTATGTTTTAGGTATGTATTCAATCCACAGTTAGTCACTTTCGAGCACCTAATGCCATGGGCTCCAGTATCCTGAAGGAACAAATGGCGTATGAACCAATCGTTGGTCACCGGCTACCATGGGACTGCATCTCCTCACGATGCTCTACTGCCTTGTGGGTCAGACATTCAGGTCAAAGGCTCGGGGTGTGGCCCCCTAAGAAAACCACCTGCTTCGGTTTGGGCACCCGGGTAGTATCACAGCCCTCACACAAATCAAATGAGATTTGTGTGGCGCATATGTATTTGGTGCCTCCTTGTACCAATACCTATGTGTTAAAATAATAATAATAATAATACCTAATGCATTACATTCCTTGTATAGCCCTTTCTCTTTATCACTAATTGCAGTAAAAGTTGTGGAATATAACTTATCAAAATTACTCAGCTTACCTTCACTAAATACATACAGAACCCTCCGTTTCTCGATAAATATTTAAGACTTACACCTTACAAACTCTGAGTAATTTTTTGTTATGCGTTGATTTTCAGCCTGTCTACCAACATCTGTCCCGATGTGGCGACGCAAGTACAGATGAGTCACAACCTTTAACTACAACAGTGTTGAGTATGAATAAGGTAAGGGCACTTCTTCAATTTGATCATAACCTCTTAGTATGTCTAAAATTTCTTACTTTCGGATTTTTCAAATATCTTATCAAATAAGAAAGATTAGTTCAGCGAAGAGTTCTCTTTTCGGCGAATTCATTTTCAAAGCTGTACAATAGCAAATATATATACTTATTTTTACAGGATGATAATAGTACTGATAATAAACTTGTTATACATGGTGACATTGAGGTTAAATAAACAAAAGTATCAAATTTTTTTTAAAACAAGGAAAGTTTGATAATCATTTAGTTGTTAATGGCTTGAATATTTATCAAAACATAGATAGGGGAATTATCATTGGGAAAGGATGGCTCAGCATGATAAGATAAAATGTTGAAATTGAGATTAAATGTAATCAGGAGGACCTTAGAAACGGAAATAAACCAGTTGGGGGTAGAAGATTCAAGGGGAAGGTGGAAGGTGAAGCAGATGGCTGTAAAGGAACAAGAGAAAAATTTTAATACGTTAAGACCAAGGTAGAAAAAGAGGTTGTACCAGCCTCTTTTGCACACAATTCTGGTTTTTCGCGATGTATGGTTATTGCTTCGGTGATGCAAAGAAAATACAGTCTAATTGCCTTAGGAAGATTTGTACTTACCTTGTAGATGACTTTGAACGCAGAGTCTGTCTTGATAGAGTGACCTGTGTTCACAACGTGTTTGATTATATAACTTCTTACTAAGCCGTTGCCTCCTCTTTATAGTCACGCCGGACAATGTTCTTGAATTCTTTTGGATAAAGTACGCATCGAACGAAATATATACCTGGCTCCATATGAGCAGGTAAATTGGTAAATGCACATTGAGTTGGTCAGATGCGATAATTTATCCTTCAGATTATTGGTAAACAATGATCGGCTGGAGAATAATATGGTGATTCATCAAAACTGCTACTGAAATAAAACTGTTAATTGGGAAGGCTAAGCTAAAAATGTTCCTGCAATATTTCGACTTTGTTTCCATTTTAATTTGTTATTTTCTATTACACTATTGGCTAAACAGATGAACAAATGATCTAAAATGCATATATTTTTTTCAAAATCACTTCGTACCCAACTCATTGTTTTCAATTTTGTCTATGGTAATGTGACTGAAATTCAAGTACATAGACCCGTACTTTGTAATCAGTAAACAATGTCGTGAAAGCAAAATATGAGCAGTTTAGAAGTACTGTTATATACTGCTGATTACTTTATCTGTTTAACTTGTGTTATCTCTCTTTCAAATCACGTGATGACTGAACGACGTTCTTTATGCAAATATTACAATTTTATTATCAACAGTGCTGGGTAGTATATGAAAATGGAATCTTATTGGATGTATATTTAATCCCATTTGAAATTATTTAGATGACTGCTGAGTTATTGTAAGGTTTATTCTCTCAGGTTTATGTATTTTGCTATGATTATTATTTAGGAATATTAATTTTTTTCTCATGTTTAATGTTTTGGAAATCGATCAAACTTTGTACGTAAAAAATATTTTATTGTAAATTTGACACCACACACACTCAACATACATCACAAATACTAGATGATATGAATTACTTAAAAACTTATCATTGTTGTAGACAGTAATTTCATCAAATAAACAAACTGTGTAAACATCTTATCAAATACTTTTTGTGTTAAAATTAGATTAATCGTTTGTGTTTGTTAGATATTTTAGAAAAAACAAAGTAATTTATCCTGTTTGTTGATATCACACATAGTTTTATTGATGAATCTGTTCTATTGTGATAGATTCATTTCATTTCTTTCAACAAATAAGTGTATCAATTTATTTTTTAAAAATAAATTCTCAATTGTACTCGAAAAATTACAAAAGTAAAGAAAGCATATATTTGATGTCAAACTTATTGTTGAGTTGGGTGTGACACAAAATAATACGAGTCAATCACCTCATTGAGGTGCATTTAGATATGCATTAGAAAATGATTTTTAAAACATACATCTTTTTATTTTGTCTAGTATCAATAGCGTTAGCCATCGTAATCTAACATTTGAATATGTTTAGAGCAAAAATAGGTCTGATAATCGTCTGTTACAGTGTGATAAAGCCAATAGAGTTCTTTTAAAATACCAGCCGATTATAATAAATGTTTTACGATTGAAGTTGTGGGTATTATAGTTGTTCTACATGTAATTAGAATTATTCCCAAGCTTTATATTATTGTCCTTATGTTTCTTGCAATCTATTAGGTTCTGCTGTTGCCAGTTTTATATAGTGACCAGAAGTAATAGGTAACTCAAGTTCTAACATTGTGATTGTTCAAACTTTAATAGATTCCTTTAGATATATAGTGTTGTGTCGTAATCGATCCGTGTGAACATTGTATGATAGCAACTGTTTTGCGTTCTTCTTGTTTGTTTTTATTTCAACGTTGATTAATTTTTGAATTTGTATGATACCTTTCATATTCTTATAGCGTCTTTGGGAAGGGATTTCAGCCCTGGCTACTTCAGTTGTTTCTAGTTCATTGGGTCCAAATCCACCAAATTTGCGGAATAATCATCTTGATTCTCAACATCAAGTCCCACAAACAACTTTATCAGATTCATTTCCACAACATGGATCTAGTCTAATTACTTCAGAGGTGAATAACTCATCTATATCGCCCGGTTACGTAACAATAATTGATTTGCATACATTAAATTGTGAACATGCAACTTTGCGAAAACTTGAAGATGCTACGGCATCAGTTCGTTTATGTTCTGCTAGTTCGAATCCCTCTGACTCATCAAATCAATATAATTGTACCAATCAAAGAGCTCAATCATGCTCTCCAAATAATCAACATACATGTATTAAAATGTCAGGAGTGAAATACTTGAATGTTCATGAATTTGGTGGGTCGGGAGCCATTGTTGCTCATTTCATGGTAGGTACTTTTGTAAACATGTTTTTACATATGTCTCAATTGATTATATCATTTCATTTCACCAGTTTATATCATAAATATTAGTATGAAGATTCCTGGTTATAAAACTACTATTACGAGAATCAATCGGTTTAATATCTTACCAATACTTATTATACATCTAAACTAACAGTCGTTTTTTTATCCATAATTGCAACTGCATGATAATTTCTATCAATGGAAATTAGTATAATCATCTACTGAACTACTATTTGACAACGGGTCACAGGAGTGTTTTTCTAGATTAAGATAATATCGTTACTGAGGAACTGGAAGCTTAATTAATATGTGGACCTCCTAGTCGCAACAATGCAATTATTTCACATTTCTTATATTTGTATTCATCATCAAGCCATATATCCTTCACAGAACCTAATATTTTAATTGGAAGTCGCCCTGGCTCCTTTCAGTGACACAAATATATTTAGGGGTCACGACTTATTTTTCTATTTATAATTAAAATAACCCATAGTGTCATTGAATAAGAAAAAGAGAATTCAGCGAAGAAAATTTCCTTTTCGACGAAATCATTTACTTAAGCTGTACATTCGTATATATAGTGTTTGTCGCCTTTCTTCATATTTGTCAATTGGACTATTATCTGACCTATAAACGATTTTCTTCCTTACCCCTTGATTAGTACGTAACCCCATTTGTTATTTTCCTCGAATCCATTTTGCTGATGCAATTTTTTCTATCCTCCAATAGACATACATTTTCCATATAACTATATATACGAATGTACAGCTTAAGTAAATGATTTCGTCGAAAAGAAAATTTTCTTCGCTGAATTCTCTTTTTCTTTTCTATTTATACTACCCGAAATTTATTTACCATGATTTCATCATTTAAATCCAATACATATGAAGAATTCGGTTTACGTGCGGCTATTTCTTGAAAATAACACTATTGCTATTAAAAAAATTCCATAATATAAACATCAACATTATGATCGTCATTCATTTACACCTCTAGTTAATAGTAGAAACGGAACAATGGCTTGCTTATTGTATCATTCCACCTTTAACTAGTCGCAGGTTCGAAGCCCGCTTCACCTTCTTTGGTTTACATGGCTAGATAGTATTGTGGTGTGCGCTACTTATGTTTGTAGATATAAATAGTGTGTATCACCAGTCAGAATTGGAATGTCTGCTAGCAGAAAGTTAAGAAGGTTGAAATGAAAAGAAGAGTGAAGGAAACTAAAAGCAATCATTATAACAACGGGAATAAAGGAATAATGAAGCTCGTCAAAGACAATTCAAAGGAGATGTGTAAATGATGTATTTGATGTATGATTTTCACATTTTAGTGAATCACTCTGTAGTTTTGCATTAAGCAATAAATTGGTCTTTCCCACCTGAGTGTTCGTTCACTACAGTATTACTAGCTTTTACGCAAAAAACGTGACTCAAATTCAAGTACACGAATTGATTACTTGGAAGATGATTCTAGCAGGATGGCAATATATTCAAGTTCAAAGTAGTCTTACAGAAAATAAAGTTCCATGGAATTAACATATTAATTTTAGCTATTGAACAAAATGAACATTCACTGCTGGTCGTTTTAATCATGAAAATGATCTTCGTAAAGTATGTTTAAGGTGTATGATCTTATCGTATGTATGTTTGTTACCACGGCAACTATTTCAAGATTCTGAAATTTGTTCACTCTAATATTTCAAAACTTTGGCAGTGCCGAAACATTTCTTTTCATATTTTGGGCTTATAATGTTATATAAATAACGGCCCAATCATTATTTATTATTTCCCATTAGACGTTTATCAAGTAAATCTCACGTTTTTGATTGTAGATTCTTGTATTCTTTAGAATATATGTTTTAAGTATCCTTTCACGTAATGCCCAGAATTTTTTATAATGCGTTCATTCCTGAAGTAAGTCTAAGATTATAGATATGATGTTATTGGCTTGCTTCTGGGCTAATATGCTTCACTCAAAAAGCGCCCATTATTACCCTCAGTTTGTATTTCCCGTCTGGAAGGACCTTAACATCATTAGTTCCTTTCCTCTTTTAGTACTCTATTTTATTATGGTTTTCAAAGACATTTTTGTATTGTATAAATTACACATGAGTTGTGTGCTTGTTATTCGTCCTACCGATCTGCTTGTGGAATTATATATTTCCCCGCCTGAATCTGGTTTTCCGCTAGTTAGTGGGGCTGGGGCGCAAAGAAGTAGCTTAGCTCCATTCTGTCATTGGGTTGCTGGTTTTTATCCCGTTTGCCTGTCCGAATTGATATCATAATATCATGAACGTAGCAATAGGTTTTGGACTGAATTTTCCTGTGACCATCAGCGTCTGTAAGAATTCATCTTCTGTTTTTAATATTAATAAAAATAATAACTTCTTTATTCAGTACTATATGTTATGTTCACTAGGGATTTTTATAATGGTTTGAATCTTAAATCCCACAATCTTGCTTATGCACTTTTCAAGGTAAAAGTAATTATTTTATCAGGATGATTTCATTCCTAGTTTCATTTCTTTGAGGTGAGATAATAAAACGTTGTCAACATGCTTATTTATTTGCATACCTGTTCACTAAATAAAAGCGAATGGTTGATAAAATCAGTCAGTCAGTCAGCTGCAACGTAGGACCAGGCACGTATATGCATCGGTCCAAGTTGCCATACCGCATTAGCACAACAAGATGAACATTGGATTCATAGAAGTAGTTAATTCAGTGGTGGTAATATATAGAAGAAAGAGTGTGTATAAGGAGATAGTAAAGGAAGAAAGAATTAGTTCCTAGACAGATATGAAGCGATTTTAATCTCTTAATTTAAGGAAAACAGAGAGTGTATACACCGACGCCATTGTGATCGATTCTGAGCCATGTCACCAAGAGTCTCCAACCATTGGTTACGATAGTCACGCGGACCCCAACCAGGTAGTCTGCATCTACCAACATGGCTCAGACCAGAAGTTAGTGACTTCAAGCACTGATGCCACGTTTTGGTTTGGCCGCCCCTAACTTTCTTCCAATTATCCCCTGCACTAGTCAGCATTGCGCGTCGTGGTAATCGGTGTTCAGGCATACGCAGCACGTGGCCCAACCATCTCAGTCGATGAAGGTTCATAACCTCATCAACTGATTTACCATCATTTCCTAATACCCTGCGTCTAACCTCACTATTACTTACCCGGTGATCCCAGCAGATACCCGCAATATTTATTTCTAAGGCATCTGTGGTCAAATACTAGTAACTTACGAATATCTTCTACTCTTAAAGGCCAAGTTTCGCAGCCGTATAGTAGAAGGGAACGAACTGCCGCGCAGTATACTCGTCCCTTAATTGATGGACGGACATCTCGCCTTCGCCATAGATGACGTAAGTTGGCAAAGGCCAAGCGAGCTTTACGAATCCGTGCTGAGATTATGTCAGACACCAACCCATTAGGGCTGATTAGACTTCCAAGATAAATGAAGTTGTCGACGCGTTCGACTACTTCACCCCCTATCCTTAGTTCAGGTGTTGACGCAGACCAGTCTTGAAGCAACAACTTGCATTTGGAGGGAGAAAAGCGCATCCCAAACATTCTGGCATTGTTGCTCAGTGCTACCAAAAGACTCTGCATTTCATCAGCGTCTTCACCAAACAGGACTATGTCATCTGCGTATTCTAAGTCAATAAGTGGACCTCCTGGTATGAGATCAATACCTGAAAATTCAGTCGATGAGGGCGTTATTTCCATCAGTAGATCTATGATGAAGTTGAACAAAAATGGAGAAAGTGGACAGCTTTGGCGGACGCCACTTGAGGTTGCGAAAGCAGATGACAGTTCGCCATAGGCTCTGACCCGACTAGTAGTGTTCGAGTAAAGAGCCTTCACAAGGTTTATGTACTTCTGAGGTACGCCTTTCAATGACAGACACTGCCACAGAACCTCTCGGTCAACAGAGTCAAACGCTGCTTTTAAATCAAGGAAGACCACTATTGTCGGACGCCGATAAGTATGCCTGTGTTCTAGAACCTGACGAATGGTGAATATGTGGTCGATGCAGCCACGACCAGGTCTGAAGCCAGCCTGATTTTCACGTGTTTGCAGCTCACGATAAATCTTAGGGATTATTAATCGGTCTATCTGCTAGTATGACACTGGCAACTTTACTAAATGATTATTTATATATTTACCTATTTAAACACACAAACATTAGTACAAGAAGGCATCATATATATATATATATATATATATATATATATATATATATATATATATATGCTACACAAATCATTCCATTTGTGTGAGGAACTGGATGCAGCTCGGGTGCTCAAACCAAGATAGGTGGTTTTATTAGGGGGCCACTCCCCGACCCTTTGACCTAGAGTTCTAATCTACAAGACAGTGGAGCAACGTTAGGAGATGCAGTCTCATGGTAACCGGTGACTAACAATAGGTTCATATGCCTATTGTTCCCTCAGTATTCTGGGGACCATGTGCACCACTAGTTTGCAGTCAGGATTTTCCAACTCTCCTAGTTGGATTCTCCATATCCACTAACCCGGTTAAAGCGCCGGTCATTCGCTTGTCGTCCTCTCAATTTCGTAAACAACATCCCCCACTGAGGGAAGTGAGTGGAACTTCCCTGTCTGTGGTTGTATACACGTGGCCATGTGAAAGCATTTCGAGAGGGACAGCTGCCTCTCCCCACTTTCGAGCGTACCAGGGCATTCGGGAGTCAGACTATCATTTAACTTGCACAGACGAATAAATCTTATGTGTTTTGTAGTTTCGAAGCATTGTGCTGTAATAGTCAAGTTGTTAAGACTTTTTTTTCAGTCGTAAAGACTGTGAAAGTGATCTCCGCTTCACTTTGGTTTGCGGAGCTGAATAGTATCACTAACTGTCAGACTATACAAATGTAGTTTAAAGCCAAGTGCACGAATCTGTACCAGGCTAGTGATTTAGATTAATGGATTTTCATATGAGGAAGTTGTTACTTAATTTCATCGTTAAATATTTTGACACTACCCAAATTTTCACCGACATGAATTTCGATAAACTCCCTGTATAGCCAGTTGCTGGTATTCTCTTTAAAACCTAATTGCTATTTTTAACAAATGTAGTTGCACATTTCTGAAGATTTTGAAAATTTCGTTTCGTTTCACTGACATAAACTTCCTTGTTTTAAGCCCCCAACCACCTGTATTCTTGAGGGAATTGATTCTCCCTATAGGGTTAGAACCTCCCTGATAGAGTTAAATCAGCAATAGCCACTACACTTACTTAACATTTGTTATCACTCAGTGTTCGCTCAATGTGAATGTTCTTTCTCTTCTCTAATTTCTAAAATATTTCTTGTCTCGAACTACTTTTCATTTCAGGCTCATCGTTGGGCTGGTGTTGCTCTCTTAAAGTTTGATCCATCTGGAAGTCTGTTGTTCACTGCGTGTAAGCGGGGTCACTCATTCAATTTATTTCGTATTGCTAATCATCCGTTTGACGAGCGTCAAACTGCTGTACATCACTTATACATTTTGGAACGTGGTAATTTACCATGTGAGGTAATTTGTTTCCATAGTTATTATATTCTTGTTAATTTATATCACTATTTGAGTTTTTAGGATGTCCTAAATATCGAGTATAAACTATACCCTATTTATTTTTCTGATAAAATGATTTTCGAAATCAACTCTATTGGTTCACACAACATTATGAAATACGAACCACGAAGTCATAGTACACACTCACTTTCGGTGTTTTTTTTATTTAAAGACAAGCTTAGATTTTTTTTCCACTCACAATTGAGTGACCTCAAACTTATACTCAATTCAGGCTATCCAAGATCGAAAATTCTTAGAAAATTGGCTCCAGTTTTCTAATTTTTACGCATAAAATAATGTAACCACAAGTAGTTAGTTTTAGGGAAACAGCAGGTCGTCAAATAGTTTGGGCATAATTTAGGCGAAAAGTTTTTTGCATCTAAAATGATAGGTAAAAGATCACTACTAATGAAGTCCAAAATGGATATCATTTCAAGGATTTAATTGTCTGAATGATATATTTCGAAAACGTTTTCTAACGTTGTCTAACTTAGATCGGTTCATGATTTCAGTAAGACCTTAAAAATTGTTGTACTCGCTTCAAAGCAAAAAAAAATCATCCCCTATTTCTATTCGTTGTCGTTGTCCAGGACGATAGTGCAAGTTCCTCAATGTGTTCGCCTTACTCGGATAACTCTGCAATACTTGAACCGTTCATCTAAGCGGGAAATATTCTCCACTATTTTGTTTTATTTTTTTTAACTCTGAGTTAATATATGATAGATAAATAATGATTTAGGTAAGCTGTTTTCTTGTATAAAGAAAGAATAAATACAGCCATCCAGTGCGTATGTACCCATCAGTATTGATGTGTGGTAAATTTGTCAATTCTGGTTAACTGATCTTAACTGTTATAAACATGTTTTATTCATTTTCATACTGCAGTTAAGTTTGTTTTTAGAAACTGCTGTATAGTGTCCTTTTACCGTAATGAAGTGTTTATTTTTCTACTGCATTGTTAATGCCTTAGTTAAAAAAAACTGGTATGTTTTTTCTCTGAACTATTCTAGTGTTATATTTTAGTGAAGATTAAATTATAGGAAAGTTCTGAGAACTATTAATGGACTAATTTTGTATATATAGTATAAATATTCAGTAACTAGATTATGCATACATATATATTACTCTTATTATAAGCTTTATTTTGATCTATAGATTATTATTGTACGATTTACCGTTATGTTCAGTTTATTGATTACAGTCTCCCACGTTCACAGCTACTTTTTGGCTTGATTTGTATAAATTTTATTTCCTATTTTATGGTGTAATGTGGTCTGCTTGGTTGGTACATAAACCGGGTATGTTTCAAATAAATGACTCGCATAGTGGAAACTGGTATTGGTGTTCTGGTCTCAACTATCAGGGCTAGGAGGTAAAAGAACCAATAAGGACGCTAGGCTGCTCACACCGGTCGAACGTCATTGGTTTGGCACAGTACTAAGATTGAATAAGTCGTATTTCGATTGGTGAATAAATCACATGATGATTAGCCGGGCTTAAAGTTATAACATCTAGAGTTACTATTTTAATAAATATGATCACAATCGTTTCCATAATTTTCATGGTTTTACTAAAAACGACCAGTAAATTTACAATCTGATGTTCATAGTATCATTAAAATCGATATGGTATTGAATAGGTTTCGTCAAGAAAGGCACCAGAATTTGTTTACATATTTATGTCTAAATCACAGTGATAATAATACTATTTATTATCATTATTACTGTCAGTGATTATTATTGTGATGCTATCATTCTTAATAAGTATGATTTGTTACTGTATATCACGATATTCTGTTTATTTTACGTCTCTGTTGTGTTTGGTCACAAAAACACATTGTATTCACGTGTCATTGTTACAATATAAGTATATTTCTAATAAGTTGTCACATGGAATTTGTCATCTGAAAATTTTTTCAAATTTCAATTTTGTTTCTCAATCCTTCTTGTTCATTCGAACCTGTTGTCTACCTCATTCAAAAGTATCTGTTTACATGATTCAGTAGGTGTTGATGTAGTGGACACTACTCACAAGATTGCTTGTAGGTAGTATATAGCGGGATGTAGCCTTGAAGTCTTCGCTCATCAAACGGAGTAAAGAGTTTCAGTACATCGAAAGCGCGGTTTTGGCAGAGTACTTGATGACCAAACAAGAAGACAGTTTGGATTGCAGACCATGCCACGAGATGCGAATGAATTCTTGTTCATACACATATACATTCTTGTTTTACATCCTGGCAGCTACACCAAATGTACATCAAGACAATGGGTAGAACTCTTGTTTATTGGGAGAAATTGAAAAGCTTTGTTAGATCTATTTCTTTGCTATGGTACATACTTTACCATTCTTTCCTCTACTGAGGTATTTCATCCAGTTTGATGTTTATAGTGAATTTCTCAGTTCCAATTTAGTTCGCATTATACTCACAATCATTAAGTACGCCTTACTGATCTGGTTTCAGTCTAGTGAAAAGTATTTTCAAATGCAAATAAATCTCCTCTGCTACCAAACGGATTAATGAGTACGTTAATAATGATGGAGAAAGGAATAAGCCCGATAGACGTTAATATCTTTGATAATACAGTGAGAAGACGAAGTTTATCAGAATTATGTGACGTATTTACGCAATACATTTCGAACAATCTGATCATATCTTTGAAGAACGGTCATCTTTTAGTTGCCATATCCTTCTATCACCTATTTATTTAATAATTTCTGATCATGCTTGTTTCTATGTTCAATATTTTGTATATATTCTTATTCTGTTAGGTGAAAAAGACTATTCTACTGGATAGTTGTCTTCCAATATATGCCTCGTAAGCAGCATTCCATTTATCGATCGACATTCTGTTGATTCACCTTGAAACTTCAAAACTCATTCGCTTGTCGAATTCCTAATCATAACACAAGTGTCCTCAAGGTCCTAACGAGAGGCTACTTTTAGAATACATAAACTACTACATTTGAACTTAGAATGGTGTTATACTTCCCACGAAAATTTAAACGATATAAATCCAGTCCTATATATGCTTTGGAAATTATGTCATTTCTGACAATACACAGCCACTTACTACGGAAAATGCTGATCTGTTATGATACGTTATGATACACAATGTGTTCGACTAATAAATAACTGGCCATATAGGTCATCGAGTGAGTAGAGATCAAAAAAGAAGTCAAATCTCCATCAAAATGTGTTTTTCCTTAGTAAAATAATATGCTTAAACGCCAAATATTAAATAGACATTTAATAAGTAAACAATTAGAAGATATAGGTTTCTTAGGTCTTTCATACACTCATAAAATTAGGGCCTGGCTATCTGGCTTAGTGTTTTTGTGAATAAAATTTGTTTACTTATGTAAGATTGTGTTAGCGTTGTATGTTACCATGTTACAGCACTTCACCACAAAATTATTTATTCTGTGACCAAATAGGTGTATTCATATATTGTGTGTTCGTACGACTTATCTTTGTTGTTTACTGTTTTATGTGTTTTAATCAGTTCAGTTTTCACCACTATTAATTGGTGTTTACAATATCAGTTGTCTCATTATTCTTTGATTGTGTATAGTCTAGCTGGTTAAATAAGTGGTCAAATAATCTGCAACTTTAAACATGTCTTTGTATGAAATAGGATAACTATATGACTGTAAACAAGCTTACTTACTGTTTGTGACTGTTGCGTAATAGGAGTGAATTTATTAAATAAATACATAAATAAGGTTTTTATATTCAAATCCTAATTTTATTCATTGCATAAGAGTAGATGGTACTACCTGATCACGTCAAATCAATGTAGATGAGACGAGGTTCGAACTTGTAACTAAATAGGTAAAAGTTGAATGATTAGAGTCCACTAATCTGCTGCTCAAAATCATACATTGAAAACAATGATGCTACCCAATTGTGGACGAATCTTATAACGGTGACTACAATTCACATGAAATCGATTTTGTAGTCTGTGTCACAATGCGAATGATTCAGATTCACTGATGCAAATACATGATTATAGTGACCCAAAAACTCCATTATTTCAAACATTCGCAGCAATTGGTAACTCTGCAGTCTTCAGTGTCATGTTGTTCAGTCCTTAGACCTGATTGATCGAATTCAGTCGATCAAGGTATATTGTATTAGTTAGCAGACTGTACGGATACAGAAGGCTCAACTAGCTTTTGCTAACTTGCGTCATTTGTGGCGTAGGCGAGATATCCGTCTATCAACCAAAGGACGTGTTTACTGCGCAGCAGTTCGTTCCGTCCTACTTTATGGCAGTGAAACATGGCCAGTAAGAGTAGAGGATATTCGTAGGTTACTAGTATTTAATCATAGGTGTCTTCGAAACATTACTCGTATATCCTGGGACCACCGAGTAAGTAATGCAGTTGTTAGGAAACGGGTACTAGGTAAGGATGGCAAATCAATTGACGAAGTAGTGAAACTTAATCAGTTGAGATGGCTGGGACATGTGTTGCGCATGCCCAACCATCGACTGCCCCGACGTGCTATGTTTTATGGTGTAGGAGTAGGTTGGAAGAAAGGTAGGGGCGGCCAGACCAAAACATGGCAGAAATCCATGAAGTCACTGACAAGTGGACTGAGTCATATTGGTAGGTGTAGACTACCTGGTTGGGGACCACGAGACGATAGCAACCGATGGTTAGAGACCTTGAATGACATGGCTCAAAATCGTTTGCAATGGCGCAGGTGCATCCACTCTTTGTGTTCTCTCAAACTCTAATCTTCTGAATTCTTCATGTCCTTTATTTTCTTTCCCAAATTATTCCACTGGACTATACTCCTTAAATAACATCATCAAACCTTAACGTTTCTTGTCACTACTTATACTTTTAGTACCTCTACCACTATGGGATTTGAATCGATAACTGAATCTCTGTGCTAATGTGGTATGGCAACTCGAACTGATGTACGTACGTACGAAGTTCCACGTTATTACTGA